TGAGTATGGTGGGAGGTATTGCACGAGAAATGGTGGGTGGTCAGCAAACCAGTTTTGGACTGGGGCTGCACGATGAAAGCTCACGTTGTCCCATACTACAACGTACCGGTGTCTTTGATGGTCTGCATCATTCATACGCTCTGGTGGTATGAGAATGTTGTGGAGAAATGTGAGAATATGGGCTGTGTTGTATGGTCCAAGGTTGGCGTGACGGTGGAGGACACCATGCGTACTGGAGCGCACATTGTGATGTTCCCACCACGTTGGCCAGGAACATCTATAATGGCTCTGTGGCCAATGACGTTTCTTCCCCTTCTTCTGGTCTTTGCTAGGTTGAACCCAGCCTCATCTATAAAGATGAACTCATGTGGGATTGCATGAGCATCCATTTCCAGTACTCCCAGAAAACAAAGAACAAAAATCAGTCAATATGGTGTTATCCAGTACACTGGGAAACAATGTTGCGTGTAGTGTACTGCAGTCAATATTGTACTTACATCCACATATGCTCGTCTGAGCTCTTTGTTTCTTTGAGAGTTTCTCTCAAAAGGCACCTTATAAAGTTGTTTCATTCTGATTTGGTTTCACTTGAGAATGCGAGCCGATGTGGACAGACTGACTCGTTGAATGTTGTTGAATATGGTGTTGTCTTGGATGATGTGGCTTTGAATTTCTCGTAATCTGATTTCATTATTTTCCAAAACCAAGTTTACAATGGCAGCTTCCTGTACCCCGGTGAACATTTGGCCCCTTCCTCCACCATGGTTGCGTCTCTCAGTCCTTTAGAAAAACAAAAAAACAAAAATATAGGGCTTGGACAATGCAGCCTAAAGATATTTCCCCCACAGTAGAGTAAATTGTACAGGAAACTTGTACAGTTACTGTATGACATCAGCCATTCATGAAGTAAACAGGTGTCACCCAACTGATACACTATGACATGGGGTGTACTACATAGTGTGAAAGAAATCTCCGTTACATACCTGTACTCCAGTCTAAATGTCCCGATGACAGAGGCGACAGTAAAACGGCTCAAGTTGGGCTGCACTCTCTGTCCAGCCTCTCGCATTGTCAGCCCATGGTTGATCACATGATCAACTAAGGTTGCTCTGATTTCATTTGAAAGTTGTAACCCTAACCCTTCTTTGGCCATGAACTCCTCTACCAGCTCTACCCCTACCTCTCACTCTTCCTCCCCCTCTCATTCTCATCCTCCCTCTTCCTCTCTCTGCAATGTCTTCCATTGTTGTTGTAAAAAAAAAAAGGTGCTCACCTGTGGTCTTTTTATAGTGCTTACTTCCTGATTGAAGTGGTAACAATGAACCATTGAGGTGTTTGGCCAGGTGGCACATATATTGGCCAATTAGCTCATGTAGTGTCATTTTGAATGGCAGTGCAAACATGTGACTTTATGTCAGATTGTTGTGTCTTATGCAGAGAACCGTGTTCAGTGCATTTAAAAAGTGCCATTTTGAATTGCAAAATGTGTGTAAAGCAGAAAATGTGTTTAGAGTTTTTGAGACTTGAGATGAGGTTTTGCTCTCTGTGTGTCAGTTTAAATAACTGTGCAATGCATGTCATTTTAGTGTGTAAGCAATTAGAAAAAAATGGAATGCAACAACACAGAAAAATGTTTTATCTCATGTTTATTTAGTTATATTTCCTTTAATTACAGTGGTTACCATCTCCCTTCCTTCATTTATCTGCTCACTTAGCTCTTTATCTCTCCAGGGTGCCGTTTGGCTCAAGAGCTGCGAAATCGTTCAGATATCTCATAACACTCATATAGTGCTTAAGTACACACATGTTTTTAACATATATACACACACAGTAACAGCACAGTACAATTAAAATGATGTAGCATCCTTATGTAGGCGGGTTGTTATTTGGTGCTGTTGTCTTAAAGATTCATGTGTTTAGTGTTTAGTGTGTGCGGTAGCTGCTTTTTAGTGTGAGAGAGTGTGCAAGTGTGTCGTTTTAAACCTAAATCTGTGACCTGGCCACAGGCACCTGCCATACTGGAGACAGTATTGACAGTGTATTTGTGTCGTTTCAGTGTGTAAGAATGTGTGTGTGTGTGTGTGTGTGTGTGTGTGTGTGTGTCTTCTAGAAAGGTCATCGTCTACCCCCTGTTATTTTACTGCCAAACTCTCACCCCAACTATTTTCTAGTATCAGCTTGTGTCCCCTCTTTACAGTAAATGACACTAAACTAGACTTCATTCACTCCTACTGGAGTCTTGAGCTACTGAAAATAGAGATAAAACGTAGAGATAAAACTCAACTGAAAATGTTCCATTTGGAGAGCAGTGAAATGCATGGGTTATATTACATTTTATGTTGTTATATTTTGTGTAAGCAGTACATTGTGTAGTTCTAGTAAAGACACTGCTGCCTGTATCAGTGTTATGTTACAGCCGGTGTCTGTAAAGCTCTTTACGTCTACCTATAACTTTATGATGATTAGAGACACTTTACACAGTCTGTCCTGGTTGATAATCCCAATAAAGTCTGTTTAAAATACTACACAGGTAGAACACAACTTTTACACCATATTAACACTCTCTAAAATAAAAAATTAAAATACACCACGTAAAATCACACATTATCTGGTGCAGCACAAGCTGTAAAAACATTTACATATTAAAATTGCAAGCAGCGATGAACGGGCCCTCGCACTCCACACAACTCGGGTGTGCTGCGGCCGCATCATGTGCAAGTGTACCATGTGCAGACTGCGACGTGAATATTGGCACTTAGATGCATTTAGGCCAGGGCTCTTAACAAACTTGTGAAGTTTGGGTGCAAATGGAGAATCTGTACTGCAGTTAGGTTTAGCAGTAGGGTTAGGGTTTCCATTGTCATGTCAAGGCTGATTTTTGAAGGCATGCCACGGACACACCGTTTGACTGAATGTAAAGATTTTAATAATTAAACATCCTGAACTTCTCTGGATTGTACTCACTAATAAAAAAAAGTATTTCTGATTCACTGGCGTCACAGTTTGACATTCGATTCGAAATTTTTGACTTTGACGGCATGCCACAGACACGCCGTTCAATGAATCCTAGGAGGAGTTTGTTAAAATACAAGACCTAAAAATGGTGGCAGAAATTGACCTTCAATTCAAAATGGCCAACTTCCTGTTGGGTTTAGGATATGGTTCCAAGAGGCTTTTTTGTATGTCCTGACATGAGACACATGCCTGCAAATTTTCATTCATATCTGCAAAACAGAACACCTTTTTGAAAATTTGTAGGGGGCACTATTGAGCCATTTTGACAAACCCACGAGCAACACCCAGATGAAAGTAAAATGCTGCCATGTGGGACGTGTGTGCCAAGTTTCATGAGGTGTTGAGCCTGTTTAGCCCGCGCAAAATGCGATCAAATGTTAAAACAACAAGGTGATGCATGCTGCACGTTTCAATAAAAAATTAAGATTCATAAGATGTCATTGTCAACAGTCTAAGGGTCTTCTGACCAAATTTCAGCTGGATGTGGTCAATCTGCTAGGAGAAATACATCGAATGGTAAATACTAATTCCACAAAGGCTGGCACTCACCCATACTCTTTACTTGAATTTTCTAAAAATCACTAGAACTAGCTGCATCTAGGGCCATTGTATCAGCATTCATATATCTCACCCCAAGATGATATAGAACGTGTTCTTCCTAATTAGCTCTCACACGTGACTAAATTCAGTTCCAGCTCTGATCGATCCATTCACCGCAGTAACAGAATTGATCTGTTAACTCCTTAGATTCCCATTAATGAAAAAGCTTGCCAGTTTGTCTGTCAAAAATATTCACTTCTTTTCTTTAGCTCGTATTTATGGGTCCTACGACCACTCTGAGTTGCAATATTCTGACTTTAAGATCTAAAATCATATTCCACTCATGTTTTCCTAATCTCAGTCTTCCAACTGTGTCCTGTTCTGCCGCTGCAAAGTTCCAGTACCTGGTTTGTTTAGGCTTTTTCTCACTTCAAACCAAATCTTGCCTGATGCATCTGGAAGA